TCCTTGTTAATCCGGGTGGGGGCCGCCGGGTGCCGTCCCATACGCGGATTGATTTTTTTTAGTGAGTGGGGGGGTGGGGAACGGAGTTTTAAAATCACGATGCTTCCATATCAACATCAGCAAGAATGGGGCCTAGTCGAGTAAGGGAGATGTCTGCAGAACGGAGTGTTTGGAGATTGGATAGTGTTTGATATATAAGGGTGTGTATGAACTAGTCTAGTTAGTGCAAGGAGAAGTGTTTGGGAGGTTTCGGAAAGTAGCACTAAGGATACCGGAGGTCTCGAGACGATCAGGTATCGCACTATAAGAGTTGAGAAACCGAAGAAGAAGCAGAAAGGTGTCAGGACCGTCTGGGACAGCTACAGTCTAGGGGACCGGTTTGAGAGGAAGTCCCAAGGTGCTGCACGAGAGGAATCGTGTGGCATCGTGGAGAAAGGATATGGAAGCCGGTGGGGTTGACGGGTGAGGAGGATATTTGCAGAGGAACAGCTAGTGTATATATAGGACACCTCCGGCAACATGGAAAGAATAAGGACCTCAAGTCTCTCTCTCTCTCTCTCTCTCTCGCTGTCGTACCTCAAATTTGTTACGGAGGTTGTGGGTACCCCTTGGCGCCCGGTATGCGAAGGTGTCTGCGAGGTCCAGACTCGTCCGTCATTCCCGCTGGGACCTCCTGCTGTTTTTGCGGTATGGGAGTCTTTGCTCTATCGTAACGGGTAAGGGTTGAGCTGGCTTGCCTAGGTTTGAGTTTGTGCTGTCTGTTGTTGCTGTCTGTTGTTGCTGTCGGTGGATAAAGGTATATCTATCAGGTTATACTTGTGCGGTGGTGAAGGTGACTGGTGGCAAACATGGAAATTGCGGAAAAAACTCATCATATGCCCCGGCAGCTATACGTTCTGGAGAAATTGGGATTGGGGGAATGGGTAGGGCAATCGTAATAATAAGGTGAAGGGGGAGGGTGTAGGCGGAAAGGAGAGGTATCATAAAAGAGGTATGATATCACGGATTTTTTTAAGAACACCCGGATCAAGTCCACACCGGACGACGGGGTATGGAAAAGTATACCAGTGAAGAGGAGGAGGTGAATAACCTTTCCATGAATAGCGGGAAACTCACGACACAGTAGTAATGCTTATGGAAGCATCTCCTCATTGTAGTGGTGGCTTTTTTTTTTTTTTTGGATAACCGTATTGATATTTTCGGGCGGCGGCTGTTATTCTTGTCATTTGAAGTTTTTCAGCTGGAATGAGCCTTTGCCGTTGCATACGCCGCAGACGGCCAGTCCTGTATGCGGGCATCATGTCTCAGCCGATTCCAATAACATAAATTGTCAACAAGGAATTGAATAGAAGTGGCTGACCGGTTCAGATGGATAACGGTTCCACCGTGCCACCCGCCACCTCTGCGCAAAAGTCGGGGGCGCCGGAGTGGAATCGTAGTAGGCACAAGATTTGATAATCTCTTCAGCTACGATACACGATAAAATCTTGGAGGGGGGGGTCAGAAGAAAAGTTGGATTCTGCACGCCGGCTTGGTAGTATGACAAAGTGGGTATGGTGTGATACTTTCCTCCATTGGCGGAGGGCACAGTGCAAGTATCATACAACCTATTACGATATTGTAGCTGGCCCCGGTGCCGTCCGACGGTCGTGGTCCTTCTGCGCGATTGGAAGCGTCCGGGTACTATAATTACCTGACTTTGCGCAGTATATCGTACTCCGGATACATTCCCCCAAATCTATCGGTAGTAGTACCCCCGATGGTGTAGCTTCCCTCCGGGTTCCTCTCCTGGTAGCGCAAGCCCTGTTCTGCGACCGGACGTCCTGAAAGTGTTACACCGCTTCGGAGAAACCCCACCACCCCATATATATAGTTGTGTGATAGGACGGATTTTCCCAATATTTTAATAAAAAACGCTACAAAACCGGTGAATGCCTAGTCCCGGCCCGACCTCGGGCCGCGGGTGAAGATGGCAGTGTGAAGGACTTGGTGGGCAAGTAAAGCTAGCAATTTTTTTCGCAACATATTTTCAAACCTTGAGTGTAAGTTGTAGTATCGCCTCCCCACTCATACAACTAATCAAGATTATTATTATTATTATTATTATTATTATTTCAGAAATTGGGAAAAACCTACACTTTCACCACTGCAAGGGATGCCCTGCTCCCAAACATGCAGCTGCAGTAGTAGTAAGGCTATGGTTTCCTATCGACCGCCTTAGTTGGTGTTTGCGGGATCAGTTTTTGTTCCGCTTGTTTGCGAATTTGGAAGAAGTCTAACCATTTTCCAGAACCCTCATTTTTCAAGCCAAACAAGGTTGCCGGTTGGAGAGAGACTCTAATAATTGGTCACCGCATTGTGAAATTTCGTAAAAAATAAAAAAAAGTATGGCATTATCAATCGGGCATGATAAATCCGGGCATGATAAGTCTAGTGCTTGAAGGGACCGGCCGTGAATACTAGTAGTACCAACAGGAGTGCTGGGAGTTCAAATCCTATCCTAGATACAGTTAGGCGTTGCAAAAAAACAAAAAACAAGTAGGCCATGACGAACCACATATTTTGTCATCTCGGTACCCTGGCTGTCCTACAATCCCAAAAGCCATTCCCGCAGTTGGAAATACTTTTCCTTCTCTCCCCGGTCTGCGGGAATTTGGTTGTGAAAACGAGTCCTGGTTTGGGATGGGACTTTTGCGAGTCCTGAGGATCAAAATATATGCCTATATCGCACAGAGAGAGGAGGGGGTATGAATGCTGCCAGGATGTATAGTATAGTCATCGTTCAGGGTGTTTTCGCTCCTAGGTCTCCCTTCTTAGCTAACTTACCCCCCTGTCCTGGGTTGCCGAGCTTCCACGCGGGTGGCTGGGCTCCTCCTCCTCCACCTCCTCCTCTCCCAGCAAGCGTGCAAGAGAGCACGCAATGCCACCTTGAGTGTAGCGAGCCTGCCCGACAGGGCCCCATTATGGTACCGTTTACCCCGGAGGACAAGTACTCGACCAGCTCGAGATACCAGGGGACTTGAAAGTGATTTGCTCCACTTGCAGATAGCTAGCTAGCTAGCCTTGCGCCCGCGGCACCAGTAACTAGTGCCAGGCCAGGTCAAAAGTCTTTTCCATATCTTGCTTGCATGCATGCATGCTTCACAGGTCGGGAGTCTTTCGGCATTTGCCATGCGGTCCGTACATGCCTGGCCAATGGGCAGAGATATTCGCCGACAAGGCGCCGTATCTAAAAGATATCTCCCACCCGTCCACGCTAGGACACACACGGGGGGTGCGGGACTGGGAGCGTTCTGATGGGTTTACAGCTAGTCGAGGCCAGTGTGGATGCTGGGAAATTTCCAATCACTCGAGATATTAATAAAAAAATGTGCCATGGATAGATAGTTTGCACTCGTAGGAGACATCCGACTGTCCAGCTGTCTCTCCCTCCCAGTATATTCAAGTCCTGTTTCAAGGCTACGATCCCTCACTTTTTCCCCCACCACTGCTCTATCCTCCAGCATACTGAATCCCGACGACCCCTGCACACCTCAAAAAAAGACCCTGATGAGACGGGAATACAGAGGTGTATCGACCCATGCGCACACATACAAGGTCCTGAAAAACTAGGTTAGTCATATTTAATCACTCGGAGGCTAGCGGATATCTGATACGCTCCCCATAATGCGGAGATCTCACTGGGAACTCTGTTTCCCCCCCCAATTGCATCCCATCCCGTTCTCCTGCTCCTGCCTTCCGGGTGGGCTTTGTCGTTGGGTCTCTCGGATCGTGGGTTTTTGCCTTCTGCACCTTACTTATACCTCTTGATCCCGGATGGACCTTCAAGTGGGAGGGAGTATGATATGCCGGAACCGCATCAACTAATCAGGACACAGTCTATCACTCGAAGGTCGTCAATTGAATCATGTTGGAGCAACCTTCCATATCCGCTAAGATGACCACGGGAAGTACATAAGGCCACGGTGTGGTGGTGGCACGGTAGCGGTGACGCGGCGGCGAGTGAGGCCGCATGAGGCTGGAAACTGTGACTGGGTTTTCTTGTATACTTAGTCGGGCGCACACCCACCTCTCTTTCCTCAATCAACTGTCAGTCGTTTCAACAAATCAAGTTGGGTTGTGCGATGATATAATACTTCTCGCAGAGAAGAGAAGTCCTTGACTTCCGGTGCGAGGGGAGGACCCCGCTCGAGCAAGCTACCCTGCTCGGAGATCATCGTCCGTCTTGTCGTTATACCCGTACCACACACCCGGTTCCGCCCTCATCGATTATTTTCATAGATGTGATTACACCTGCAGTTGTTGGAGAAAGATACAGCGCGGATGAGAGCTCTGAAAGAGAACTGCCCAGGATTTCTATAGGTTGCTCCTGGTGAACTGATCCCTCCCTTTGCCTCGTAGGATTTTGTGTGATGGGAATAACGGGTAGATATATAGCCGCGGCGGTAGTGCGTGAACAGAATAGTAGACCAAGACTTTATAAACCGTTATCATGGAGTAAGTGTATATGTGTGGGTAGATAGGCATAGGCAGGTAGGCAAAGGTCTTGCCAAAACCTTCTTCATTCCAGCCAGACTACCGGTGAAGGAAAGGGCATACACAAAACAAAACCCCACGCGTCCCCTCACTCCCCGCTCGTGTGCTCCCACGATTGTGCAAAAGGACAAGTTCGGGAGAAACTTCAATCAATCCGGACCGAAAGAAGAAAACGACATCTTCAACGTGAAATGCGCCAGCCACGATGATCCGTCACCTCACTACAGTACAGTACATTCGTGGATACCAAAGTAATTTCTATCGACGGGCGAAAGGGAAAGCAAAAAAACATCCAGTGAAAATCAGACCCTCCAATCCCCGAGTTCGCTAGGGGGGAGAAGTAAAAACCGGGGAGAAACAAGAAAGAACAATCCCTCTCCCCACTCACTCCCAAGAATCCTAGCCGCAAAATCCGCGGCGAAGTTGGCACGTCGGCAGCGATGTGAGGAAGCACTCCAAGTGGTCGGACAAGAACCGGAGTGTGAGGGGGGGAGGGGATGGCATTGCCGACGGATCAGCCATTCAGTCAGTGCTCGTGGGGTGCACGGAACGGGAAAGTAGCGGGTGGGAAACATGGGCGTCCTGGACGAACCGCTCTCGCCCGATCCCAGATGCCCGCTCGCCATGTGCAGTACAGTACAGTACACACTCGCAGACCAGACGGCAAAGCAAGGGAACACGTGTGATGCCGCAAACAAAAAAAAACAATTCCAGGGAGTGCAATATCACGGATGGAGAATTCAAAGGCCTGGCAAGCACGCTTTCCCCAAGCGGTCCGGAGGAAAGCCTCGACACCGGACACCGTCCCCCAACTCTCGACTGGTATGATATACCGCTCTATGAGAAGAGAGAAAGGAAGAATAGGGAAGAAAGGGCTAGATCCTCTATCGAAGGAGGGGATGCTCGGCTTTGGCAATCGTGCGAGTTCGAGTTGGCAGTAAGTTACGATGGGTGAATACTTGACTGGTTAAGATTCGAGTAAGCCTCAGTGAGGGAAGCGGGCACTGTACTGTACCGGTACAGTTATCCTATGTGGTCTTGTTATGTTCCTCGAACAGCCGTCCCGCTTTTCAGGTGTCAAACGCAGGTGACGCCAGGGCGGTGGTGCGAGCGAAGGGTCACCGCTGTGTTCACGGTCTATCACTCACAGTCATAAGCGCTCGAGAAAGTGAAATGCCAGTAAATGGCCTGATCAAATTTTCTCAGAGACAGAGAGGGTTATCTAGGCTATTCAAGCATACCCGGCTCCTCGGTAGACTGAATTCTATCGCTCTTATCTAAACAATCCCGACAACCATTTCCTACTCTCACTCACACACCTACTCACCCTCATATCTCACCTAAATATAGACAAACACTTCGCTTCATTATCACAACACACTCCGAACGGGGCACGGTGACCTGGTGTCATAATCGACTAAATAACCCATGAAATTCCTTCCCTCATCGGAGCGAAGCCCCGGCCGCCATAACAAAGCTAAAAAAGCTCTTGTTCTATGTTACAAAAACCAAAAACTAACCGAGCAACCTAACGTACATCACCCACCATGCCCGTGGCATGAGACACCGACACTCAGCAACCGTATCCCCTTTATCAAACTCATGCCATTCAAAAAGTTAACCAAGAAAGAAAAAACAGGAGAAGAGTTGGAAAAAAAAAACCCCCGAGAGGGATGAGGAAGAGCACGAAAAGGGATTTCTAGTTTTTAGTTTTTAGTTTTTAGTTTTTAGTTTCTTTTTTTTTGAAAGGGGATAAACATTTCCTCGCTCAGTGAGTACAATTCTTGGTGGGGAAGGAGTTGATAGTGAGGACCTGGGAAGGCTTATCAGTAGCCTTAGCCTCAAGCGCACCCATCTTCTTTGTCATAAAATCAAAGAAAGCAAATTGGCTCGGGTTGCTGCCAAACTCGTAAATAAAGCGAGAAGCGATGTAACTACCGAAGATAGCGCGGAGGTAGTTGTCAGGAACACGCTTAAGAATGAGGTCGAGACCGATCTGCTGTAGGAGGGTTTGCGGGAGGGCATCTTCGAGAACGCCCTTTCTCAAGACAACGTTATTCCAAAGCTCGGTCTTCTGGAGCTCTTCATCCAACCTGGTGATCGCTAGGGAGAGCTCATCAGAAAGGATGGAACGGCTCTTTCCGGTTTGCTGGTTCTCGCGCCAGATGGCCTCAAATTCTAGGCGGGCATTATCCCGGATGGTTTTCTGAACCTCCTGAACGTACACCTTATAGAACTTGGGAACGACGCCGTCTTGGACACACATGTGCTCGACAAACCCGGCCTCGTCAAAGGCAAGTGATGCGAGGACTTCCATGGAAGAACTAGTGACACCACCTTTGTTGGCGCTAGCGTCCTTGAACAAGATTGTACCAGCACCCTCTAATCTCAGCTTAGCGTCCTGAGAAATGAACAAGTTGGCGCCCTCAACGATATAAGGAATAACACTCTTTCCGTCCTTGATGAATTTGCCAACATTGCCCAAGTCAATTGCCTCGGGTCGCCCACCACAAGGAACGAAAATATCGTATGGGATATGGGTGCGGGTATGGAAGGTGTTACGGAAAATAGTACCATTGGTGACAACCTCGCCACTAGGAAGAGTGACGTTGGTATCCTCAATAAGAACTCTATACCCCTCAGGTGAGAGCTTGGACATATCAAACTCGGAAATCATAAGACGTTTCTTGGCCAGGCGAATGAGTTCCTGGTGATCAAGACCATTCAGGTCGACCAGAACACCAGACCCATCAACAATAGCACCATACTTCTCGTTACTCAGAAGGATCTCGTTTGATCCCAAGTCACCATCGGGTCCACCAGTCTGCAATTTCCTCATCCGGGACGGGTCAACATTCAACTTGCGGTAGATGCCAAGAACATATTCGCGAACGCTCAAGGATGTCATTCCATAAGTATCGTGAGGAATACCACCCAAGCTAGGGCTCTTTCCGGTAAAGAAGGACTTCCACCAAGGGGCGCCTCTCGCTCTAGCGTGCTCAGTAGCCCAATCCACTAGGCCGGCAGTGTTCTCATCAGGACCCATAAACAAAATCTCAGGCTCCTTGTGAAGATCAACAATAGGATCCTTGATACCTGGGCTATTGGGTGTAAGGAGAAGATCTAGAATCGAATCAATATATTTCTGGAATGCTCCTGTAGCCTTGTCTTGATGGTTGGCATCAAGGAGAATGACGCCTTTGCTACCACCTTCCGGGATATCTTTGTTCTTGCGTTGTTGAGTGTTTGCGAGGTTGTAATTCTCATCGAAGACTGAACGCGCATTGATCGCATATGCTTCCCGGTTCCTACTCTTGACGATACGGATACCTCCACGGGCGATATCCCGGAACCTCAGATGGAATCCCCTAAACTCTGATCCAATAACCAAAAACATGCCAAACAATGGTTGAGGATACTCAACAGTGGGTAAGAATCGGGGGTTGAGTCGGAAACTCAGCGCAACCTTTGTGGGAGTATAAAAGTTGGTCTTCAGTACGTTGCGGTTGAAGGTAATAAAGTACTGCATGACTTTCTCTTGATGCTCATTCCCGACGCTCGTCGATATCAAAGTCTCTAGTTCATCATCCTTCAACACCCGGCCAACTTGCAAACGCTGATAACTAAGCGTAGGGATAAAGTCATCGTGTTCGCCCCGAGTTTGCACATAGTGCTGGTTAGCGAACGACAGGTATAATGAACGAACCAACTCAGGGTGGTCATTAATGATCTCGAAGATATAATCCGAAGTAAAGGTCTCTTGACGAAGGCGACGCTTGATCTTGGTGAGAGTCTCCGCGTGGACACTATTGCTCGCGTCGAGCAACGAGGATAGGGCGCCATATTCCGAACCTAACCCACCCAATTAATAATCTGCCTGTGGCGTTCAAAAAGTGACAGGGATTTACTAACCTAGCCTATTCAGAAAATGGCTCACGAAGTGGCAAACACAATGAGCGTATATTGTCTCCTGCAGACTCAAACGGCCACTAATAAAGTGTTCCTGGAAGATATTTTGGGGTATGCAGTATAGAAGAGAAACTTCCTTCATGATTTGGTAAATTGATGCCTCGATAGGCGGGAACATTGCAGGGTTCGGGATGGTAGTATGATAGGGGAGAGGTCGAAGGTAGATTGACATTACAGTCACACCGTTAGAGAATTGTTCTGTAAATGTTAGCCAGGATTCAGACAAAGCTGCGCAATGAAAGATATAGCTTTCTAATACTCACCGACATATTTTCTCGTAGAGGTACACCCATAGTAGTGGTAAAGGTCACTCAAAGCCGAAAACAAGCCCATGGAGCTCCCTTGTTTAAACCCGATGACGAGCCTCTTCTCCCGTGTACCTTGGACCTCAAACATCTCGATAACGGGGCCTGTCCGCTCAATAACAGACCCGACAATGCCCTGGTAGACCTCCTTGGTGTTAGGAGTAACCTTTTCCAGAAAGGATTTATCCGAGATAACGCTCAAGTCCGTCTCATTAGGATCAGGGTTTGGATTGACAAAATCGCATTGGTAGACGAAGTAGCAGCGGAGCTGCTGGTGCGACGCCGTAAGCTGGGAAGAGGAGCGGAAGGTTTCAACGCGGTAAGCTTTCGCAGGGTTCGAAGGGTTGAGGTATTTCTTGTCGATTCTCTGCTCATACTGCGGGCCGGAGAGCACGGATACTCCAGGGGTAGATGTATCAATGTATACAGCATGATCTACAGTGATGCCGGGTTAGCCGAGGCCCAACAAAATGGCAGGGGTATGTAGATGAAAAGGAAAATGTAAAAATTACCCTCTGCTTCTCTGTCCAGCCGAATTTCCAAACGCTTATCATCCCGAGAAAATGCCGCAACCTTGCCGGCATAGAGAGACAAAATGTGGTTCACAATTGTTTCCTATCGCAATTCAAGTCAGCTCAATTCTCGCTCCAAGATATCCGTCGTGTGCCAGATGCTCACAGCAGTTTCTGATTTGAAGTACATATCTGAACGACCAATTAGTCACTCACTGCTCAGCCAAAAATACGACATCGGATAGATTTCCGGAAGAAGGCAGCAGGACGTACCGTCGATCCCGAGCGATGAATAAAACCACTTTGTCTCACTCTCAACGAAATCCGGAGGGATGAATCCTTTCTCCTCGAGCATGTCCATGACTATAACAATTAGCGGTCGAAAATTCCCAACAGATCAAGAAGGTGAGGAAGGAAAAGGTCAGAACCTACCATGCTCCATCTGCTTCTCCTTGCCTTCGAACACGGGTGCAACATAACCGGAGGCATCATCTTTCAAAACCCGTTGATTATGAACGCCAATACTGAGGTGTGTCGGATGCGGACTAGGAGTGTTGAACCGATTGATGCCGGCGTGAGCGGCAAGCGTAGAACTAGGAGCCATGATGATGAACCGTGAAATAAACAAGTAGTTTCTGGAAGCTATGAAACCAGTCTGTTAGTTCCGAAAAGATGACCCTTGAGAAGTGAAGAAAGAAAGAATGTGCAGGGCTGAGAAGCTTATTGTGGGGTCCCGATATGATAAAGGAGGACGAAGAATGGTTCGCCATCCCCACTCCTCTTGTCCCCTTTCCACCCACCGCCAATCCAAACACCCAGCTCAAACGACATGATGGAACAATACAGAAGAATTGAACCCCGAAACGAGGAGGGAGAGGACTCAGCACTTACATAGGAGCGTGCTCGCAACGGGTTATCGGTCGAGAAGTAGGAACAATAGAGTCTGGATGAGAAGGTGGCGGTGGAGGAGGGGTCGGTTCGTGGTGGAAAACGAAAACGGCAGACGGAAGGCGGAAAAATGTAAAAGTAGAGAACGAGACAAATGGGCAAAGATGAGAGGGGGGGTGGAAAGAGAGGCGCTGAGACTATCGGGGTAGGGAGAGACGGCAGGTTCTCTTATCCTCTTGTCCGGCGGAGGAGCGAGGTGAGTATAGTACCCTTTTTTTTGTTTGCTGTTCAAAGGTTCGTGACAAGTGTGGGAAGCTTCAACTTATATACGGTAGCTTGCTAAGCAATGTGAGGGTACAGTACATGCTTGGGAAAGCCAGCTTCATGAGCTCATCCCTGTTCGGACTTTTTCGCAGATGTTGTTGAAGTACCGGTACCCTATAGGTTACTCGTTACCTCCATGGTTACATTTTTTTTCTTTTTTCCTTTTTGCCTCTTTTCTTCACCATTTCATCTTACCTTAGCCCTTGTCGTCGTTAGTTTTTGCTGTAGCCTTTTTTTGTTTTTTATTCACTCACTCACTCACATCCGAGCTTCCCTGTAGATATGTATAGTAGACAATGATAGCGGAATAACCTCGCCATAAACCAAGTAACGCTTCGTCAGAGCACAAAACAATGGTTTGGATCCCAAGAGCCTACAACGGGCGAACAAAAATCGCAAAAAGAAAGGGAGGAAAAAGGTCGTTGACAGCCTTTTCGGCTCAGGAACCAAATCGAACTCCAAGGGAGAAGGGGAGAGGAAGAAAAAAAGCCACTCCTCCTCAACCATTTGTCAATTTACGGACCAGATCGACCTTTACACACACCACGAGACCCGTCACATCTCCACGATGCCAGTGCAAACCGCACAATTGGCCGCCCACCCGCCTACCCTTCTCATCTCGGCACGCATCGACAGCAAACCCACCCGAGACAATCTCACGATGCCGCATCCACTTCCTCCTCCCAATAGAGGTGCAAGAATGGGAAGTGGGGAAGTAAGAATGAGGGAAGAGAAAAAAGGGGCGGGTGGTGAAGCGAAGAGAAAGTGAGCAAGACGTGTATTATTATTTTTTCGTCCGAACGCCGAAATTGAACTTTGTTTCTCACTCTCTCATTTGTGAAGGATCGTGAACGTGACCGGAGCTTGAAGGGTCGTGGCGGAGTCAGAATTGCAATTATAGCTAGGAAAGGACAAGTTTTTTTTTACGGGGTTCGAGTTTAATTATAAATTTCCGCACAGAGTCTCCCAGGGGAGGGAAAGAGGCGCGGGTTTGTGGGAAACCACATGACATTAGCAAAAGCACAAGTATGATATCGCCCACACCGAAAACTCACGATGCCAGCCGTCATCGTCCAAAGTAGGTTCTTGTACTCGAAGGGATGTGGTTTTTCCCTTTTCCTTCCCTAAAGAGCTGGCCCCAGGATCCCAGAGCTCCTCCATGACAAATATCCTCCGGATGCGGGGCCAGAACATCACTAAAACACTGGACTAGTCAGCTACAGTTGCCTTAGCTAACATAACTTTAAACCTCCCCCCAGAAACTCGGGAACCAGGGCGAAGGAAGGGCTTCCCAACAACTAAAGTGGCCGCAGCCACAACGAGACTGTACCCACAGCGATATTCTTTCTCAGTTTTCTCACTTTGATCACTGGTTTGTTAGTAAGGAATCTCGCTGTTGGTGCAATCTCGTTGTGGGTGCAACCGCGTCAAAAGAATCCATAGGAACACACACCAATCAGTGAAGGCAAAGAGCAAAATAAAAGGGCAGAGGAGTCCCCCCAAAAAAGGTTGGCGCAAGAAAAAGAGAATGAAAAATCAGATCCCATTGTCGTCCTCAGCCCCACCGCACGCACGCATGATGGATACACGGGGCGCAAAAAGCCCTCCAGAATACTCGCACTCGTACAGGTATCATGTATCCCTTGGGCTTTGTGATTTACAGGAGGTACGGTACTGTACCATACTGTACTCGTACTCGGCACTGCACTCGAGTACAGTACCCCCATTAACTGGCGAGAACCGGGAGGCGCTAGTGCGTTCGGATAAGATTTTATCCTTGTTCCGTCTCAAAGTCGCAATAAAACGCCATAAATCCTAACTCTTTATAGCTTGGGCAAAGCCCTTCCGGGCTCTTCTATCTTTGGTGCGATCGCTCCAGCGGCTTCTTATCTCGACGCAGGGGTGTCTCTCTGCCGGTTCTAGCCAGTTAATGCGGTATGTATCATAAACTCACCAAGAGTGCTGAGTCATTTGAGCACTGAAAAACAGATTTTAAGTTACAAGTGCTAGGGCTAAAGTTTTGGCATAGTTAATTTAGGTTAACCGGAAAAGTATTCCCTATCTTGTACGAAAATATCTGCCCTATGCCTTGTACTCGAGTACCTGTGCCCGGCGAGGAACTTTTACTGTTTCAGACGGCCCAAGGGATAATAACGGTAGTCTGATGCAGCTACGGTACTGGTCGTACAGTACGTAACGGGCAAGAAGTACCCGATAACAGGGGTTCGCAAAGTACTTGAGTAGATAGTACCGATACGGCGAAAAATCCGTGCGTATCAAAGCGCCCATACAAACTCGACACCCCTGTTATCGGGCACTCGAGTACTCGAGTACAGTACTCGTACTAGTACTTCTTGACTGCCACGAGTGAATTCCATTCTCACCCATGGCCGAAGAGTTGGGAGGTTGATAGGGAGGGAATCATTCTGCCGAGGAAAGCAAGATCCTCTTTCTCCTTTCTTCGGTAATTCTATTTTTATCCCGTCGAGTCGGCCACGCACACTGGATTGTTGCATCGCATCACATTGTGCACCAAACCTCACAAGGGCACATGGGACAGGCACGAGTGATACCGTCCTGTCCCCACCAACCAAAGTGAACAAACGAAAACTAGGTGCAAAAAGTGTTCCAGTTAAGAGGCTACGGTACGAGTAGTTATTATGTCCGTCTACAGTAGATCAGAGCATCCATCGACGGGGAAGGGAAAGGGTATGGGTGGAACAGAAACGTCAGCGTTCTGATCTCTTGTTCATCCTATGCTGAGAGCTCGGGTTTGTATCCGTCAGCACGATTGGGATTCAGGAACGCGCTCAGCAAAAGATCGCCAGGCGTGACGCCCCACCAACGCAAACCGAGCGGGAACCATTTCCACACCATCAGATCACATCTTACCTTACGACAAATAAGGGTGCTGGAAAAAAAAAGGGGGGGGAAAGTGGTGTGCTCGAGCAGTGGGTGATGCCCTCATGATGATGCTATCAAAACTTGACCCTCAAGATCATGATCACAACATGAACTCCCTTACATGGAATGGGACCCAAGAGATATGTCCGATCCCCCTCGCGATTCTCCCCCCCCCGCCTTGCAAATTGCTGCCGTTGCAAGGGTCAGGCATAAAATACAAGTACCGGTACGGTGCATGGCCAAAATTTCAGCAGCAGTGGCACACTCCAGAGACACGGCCCTGAGGGGATCTCTATTTCCACCTGTCTCGGTCGACTCTGAACAGATATATACGGTAATTGACTAATCGGGTGCCTGACCTCTAATCAAATATACCTATCAAAAAAATATCTCTCTCCAGGCTCCTGTTGGGCAATGGAAGGCTCATGTTTTCAGACCGTCTGGTTGCGGCGTACGGCACCGCTGAGCACGACCATAATCAACACTATTTTATGCCTGACCCTTGCACTAGGATAATAGTCCTCACTATCATCACACTTCGCCATAACTCCCACACGCACCCCATCCCCTCCTCATCCGGGAATGAAAATGAATCTGCGGGGAAGAATTACCGGTGCTGTAGCTAAAATTTCGCAATCCGGGGTAAAGGGAACACGGACAAATAAAGAAAACCTAAATCGAGGCTTGGTTTTTCTTCCTTCTGCTCGCCCACTCACTCGCTCTCCGCATGTCTGGCTCCCGAGGAGGCGTCATGAGGAAGGAAGAGCAAACCATTGATTTGTTAGAAACTTGGAACCGCACACACCACGCCCAAACAGAGAGTGGTATGGGAGATACTGGTAATATACGGTGCTTCTTCACCCCTTTGGAAGAAAGGGCCATAGAGTGGAAAGTGAGAAGAGGAAAGCCTCAGAGGAGATGTGTATCTTTCTGCAAAAAAAAAAGGATTAGGCTCGTTCCCCCCCTCCAAGAAATGACAAATCTCTGCCCTTTGGTAGAGCCTGGAGCCACCATACCCCGCTGGAAATTTGTTCACCCATGCAGTGGTGATAGTGCCGAATTCCCGTGACAGCATTCAGTTTTGGTAAATACCGCTTGAACGGTAGGAATAGCGGTAGCCCGATTCTGGTCGCATGTCGTAAGCACCGTCGCGTTCGGTCCACGGTAGCAACCCCCCGATACTGTGCTCGAGCACTGTACCTCAGGCAGGGCAGGGAGATCAGGGATAGGCAGAATGGGTGCCGAAAGGATATCACAGTACGGCACTCGAGTGCAGAACTCCGGGAGCCGGATTGGGTTCGTGTCTACCACTACCGTCGATATCGCAGCTCCAATCCGGTGGCTCGAGTGATAGGGAATCTAGCGAACGGGGGAAACCCAGCCGTTTTTTCTGCAAGCGTTTTTTTATTAAGCCAGACGATATTCTGCTGTCCTAGACCGGTCGATATGGGTAATCCTTTTTGGGGATGGGCATTGGTTTGATGCTGATTCGATTGATTGGGATCTATCTAATTGTCGGTTAGGGGAATTCGGCACCATCACCAGTGCGGGGGGTTTTCCCTCTTCACGCTTCACAAGGTCCACCGCTCGGGAGGTCATTAAAAATGGGAGACTAGGGTGACGATGTAAGGATCGTTTAGCAGGACGATTATGTTTGGAGAGGAACGCAATGCTACGGAAAGCCGAAAGACCGGGCCTGTGGCTTTGAAGCTACGCCCAGTTGAGCGAGTGAGAGTTGGGCTGAGAGGGAATTTTCATTATCGCGACGAAATGGTGTAGAATTGGGCTATTGGCAATTCTGATTTACATCTTCTACCGGTATCAGATATTATCGTGTTCTTGGGATATCGGTACCACATCACACTTGGTAGCTACTCTCAGCTCCTGTTGCATTCAAAAGACTTTGAGAGTCTAGAGAGCTGGAGAGCCTTTCCCCGGCTTCCAATGACCCCCCCCTCCCGAGGACCTCACTAAACCATTCAACTCATTTTATCTTCCTTGGCATGCTGGGACAGAGTTTGTATCGTATGGAGGGCTCCGAGTTCGGGATAATTTTCCAACTGCGCAAGAGAAGAAAAAGGAAAAAACAGGAGAAATTCAATGATACCGGACTCGAGTACAGTAACTGTTCCGGTCCGTACGGCAATTGAGCTCTTGAATGCGCTCGTCGGATACCTACATCCACTCGGCAAAATCCTTTGCATTCCTCCTTGGCCGGCGGGACTGGCACCTCCCCACACGAGAAAAAAGCTTTTCAAGTATGATACCCCACACAGAACCCCAATTGCGCAATACTCGAGAACCGCTATGCCACCGTAATCTCCGTCAAAGGGGAGCTCCGTTTCATGATGGATGGCCTTTTGCCGAGCACTCGAGTAACTACTGTACTGTACTCGAGCACCGGTACCGTACTCCTCATGCGTTTCTAATTATGATGTTCGCTTATTTCGACGGTTGCAACGTTCAACGTCTTGGTCGGAATGTGGTGTGTGCGACAACCTGGACCTGGCCTTTCTTAGTAAAGATTCCGGAGTCCATCTATTTACTCATCTATTTAGATATTCAGCTAGGCCTTAATAGGACATGCTCGCGCTGTACCAGTGCCTAATTAACGGTAGTGGATTTAGATCTGGCCTGAGGGTTTTGGGCTGGGTTCGAAATTCCCCTCCCCCGCCTTCCGTCAGAATGGTTACCTACTGTAGTTTTCGAGTCGAAGCACTTTTCTGTGTGTAACGTAACTTGCATGTTGCACTATGGGTCCAGCAGATTCACTTGAAAACCCTGCACTCGAAGAAGAAGAAAAGACTCTTTTTCGGCCCTTGTGCTGATTGTCTCTGTCGGGATGTTTTTCTTTATCTTGCTGCCCGGGTCAGGTGTTTCGCACCACACCACTCTAACTGTGGTACGGAGGCACTCTACGTTTGAATCCTCTAAGTTACGAGTACCAGTTGCCCTTGTCACCGATGCAACCGGAATTGTTTCCTCCGAAAGGAAGCCTGATCCGGTGCTTTGGACTGCAGCGTGCACAGCAGTGGGAGTCCGTTTACGTACTTGCATACCGGTGTATCTACTTTTTCTCCCCCCCCTCGGCGTTGTCTGTACAGTACTAGTTATGGTACGGGGTACATGGCAGTGCAGTACTGCGGGCTACCAACATGTAAGGGGGCCGGTGGGGTGAAGGGAAGGGCATATCTAGTGATGAGGTTTTGCGTTTTAGTTGCTTGGATTTGCATAATTATCTCATTGATTTCAACGTTTTGCGGGGAGGGGGGGGTGCTTTTCCTGATTGCTTACGGTATGGAATGGTACCTGAAGACTTGAGCTGCGGTACGGCAGTTTCGGGGATTTCAGGGAGTTGGGGAGGGGGGGCGGTTATAGCTCAGGGGGGTGGTTGGTTGGGTACAAAAATGTGCTGCATTGTGCTGTCATGTATCTATCTGTGCTCTACCTCTGGGATGCGGTTACTTTCACTAATTGCTTGCGGCATGGTAGGGCTAATTGAGGAGGACCAAGTCAAATTACGACATAGTGGTTTTTCGTGGAGGGGAAGGGGTGAGATGGTAGAGTAGCCGTTATAGCTTATGGGGAGGGGTTAGGGCGGTGATGTGCTGTGCTGCTTATTTGTCCTGTACCTCGGGGAGACTGGCACGGTGCTTTTGGTTTTGCCGGAGCTCTTACCAAATCTCAGATACCGGCCACTTTGCAGTAATGTACCGTACCGGTACCGTATTGACTCTTGCAGTTCACTGTCACCATCAGGTCGCTGATATCCTTGTACAGTACAGTACTCGAGTACATGGCGGTATCAGCCCACGATGGGTTTATCTCGGCAAGTTAAATGGAATTGTGCAGACCGGTTAACGAGATCCACCACGGCCAAGGGAGTCAGGCTATACGTGAATGGTCCTTCTCCAACTGTTGCCCCCGAGTCACGGGATTAGCCGTCCGATGGAGAATCTGAATCGCAGAGCGTTAATAAATAAGTTAATGCGGCACTGCACTCCTACCGTACTCCACTACTCGGGTATGGAAGTTAAGTTAGTGATACCGGTAGGTAAGAGGTTTTGGCTCCGGGAGCTCAATACGGTACGTACTGTCGCGTTATAATTTTTTTAATTTGGCAGGAATGAGACCGGGAGAGGTAAGAAGGAACTTTGACATGTTGAGCTCCCCTGTTCCATTCATCCCATCACTAACCTCCATACCCGAGCGCAGTAGAGTACCGGTATAGTACAGTACCGTACCGGTAGATGCAAGCGTATTATTCGGTATTTTCACAGCCGTACCACGACCGCACCAGACCTCTCCGCTCCCCTTTCTTTTTTTCCAACCTATTTTTCCAAGACAAACCTGGTTACCTGCTCTCTAGCCGTCCGTCCGTCCATCCATCCAGAGTGGCAAACTGCCATGCCATGCAACCCCCGTATAGTGAGCGATCTCTGCTTTCCCTCGCCGACGTCTTCCCCACACCACGCATTAGCACACAAACACCACTGAGAGGTGGTAGATCTTACATCGGGTGATCCTGCCGGTGGGACACACAGTGAAAGGCGGGGATTGAACACATGTGTGCCTCTAGAGGAGAAAAGGGGGGGTTGGCTGGTCAAGGTTGAGTGATTATGCGGGAAAGGGGGGACAAGCGTTGTTCCCAGGGCCGGCGGCGACGGCGGAGGAGGGGGAGGAGGGGGTGCGGTAGTGGTGAGAAATTGGACGGGAGTTGGGCTTTTGCATTGTGAGTGGTGTGGTATCGTGGTATCATTCCGGTACTTACTTTTTTGATTGTTCCGATCGTTTGGGAATGGCGGAGTTTAAGGGGCCTTGGAGGATTATAAAACCCTTACGGGGGTGTGTGTGATGGATGGATGGGTGGTGATTTTTTTTCGGATGGCTTTGATGCCGTAACGTATTGAATATCTCGAACTATGGGGAATTAGGCAGACAGTCGGTTGGCTAGAGCATTTACCTCGGAAAATATTTGTGTCAGGAGTTATGATGAACAGTCCGTCGGTCATCTGCGAGTGGAGCTTTCCCGAATCACCATGTCACATTCCCGTGGCGTCTGCGTTTGGGCAACCTAGACATCCGCGGTACTTCCCATCTGTGAACCCCCCCGGGAGTGCCCTGCTTACTTTGTTGGTTACTTTATCAAAGATCCAGTATCACACAGCTAGGTGCCCCAAGCTCTATGGATATCACAGTTCAGCGTTTTCTACGAGATCTAGTCGTTCCGACTGCTGGTCCGTAGATTTCTTCAAATGCAGGGAAACCCATGGCGAGCACCCAAAGGTATGGATGGTCTAAAAAACCCCTCAAAGCATGAGAAGCTTTTCAATCAGCCCCCCCATATAAATAACGAAAACGCTATCAAATAATCAATCAAGACCACAATGGTACTCGTACAGTCTCATAACAGAAGCAATTTAAGATGCCAACATGGAATCCCCTCGTAAAAAAGGAAAAAGCTCCCAATCTGATGGGAAAAAAAAATTCACCCTACCGGTATGCCTATTAAATTCCGGCTTTAGCAGAACGGTAGTTATTATAATAGCCAGCTATATCATCCCGAAACATCTTCGTAGAGGGAGCAAAAGCTTTGACCACTGGCGCCGCCCGTAGCACACCATAGCAATTCTAGATCACCACACCAACTAGTCTATCCAGACACGGCATACCGGCAGCAAAAAAATCTCGAAAAGCAAGGTACCGGTATCATACATCTCAGATTTCCTCTGAATAGCCACATGCCAGGTGCCTAGTCCCCTCACTGTTATGAGTATGATACGACTTATCTCCGGAAAATCATTAGTCCGCTCCGGCGGTGTACTTCCCTCCTACCACCCACCACTGGCGCCAATGTAGCAGAATCAACTCCCGGAATCTATACCGCATCGTAGCTCCAGAGTCTGAGTCAACCAGCCAACTAGGAAGGGGATGTAGGGGCACGTGGAGAGGGAAAATCTTGCTGGTCGGTGGTGAGGAGTAGGGGTAGGGCACCGAAGAGTGAAAGAATGCCGGTATGATAATAATATTATGATGATTCACTGGTGTGATCTACTAACCTCTGGCAGCCCTGTAATCTCCGGGCTCCTGATGCGATAAGATTAGAACCCCACTCGCTGGATCTCATTAACCACTATTTCTTAATCCCCTTATCATATCAGACTAAGCCTATCGTGGGCTGACAGGCGGAGGATGCCATAGTGAGAATCTACTACGGGGGGAGGGGAGGCGGCGGCGGCATGATATGTACGAGTACAGTACCTTAATTATTGAGTGTTACAAGTATATGTATTAGTAACCGTGCGAGCGAGAACTGGCTGCGCGCGCATCCCCTTGCACTGGTGATCAGGCCGAATGGGTAAATGTCGACTAGCGGCACCATATCAGGTAGGGCTCGATCGGGGCCCGGATGGGCATGTCATTATGGAACGGCAGCCCCTCGGACTGGAGTTCTGCGATCCCCTCCTCCGCCTGGCGTATTCATCTAGTCTACCGGTGTTCGAAAAAGGTTTTCTCCGATCCGTCCATCGATCTGAGCAAGCGTCTGCACAGTTTGAAAAAAAAGCAACGCCTTGGCACCCTGGGCTCAGGTGGTACTGCCGGTTTTTCGGGGATCAGCGGTGATGGAGCATCGGGGCGTTGGATCGGGCCTACCCTACCGTACCGCTATTCCCACCGCACTAAGCGGTAATTATATCAAGATTTGTAGAAAGCTCGGCACTTTCACCACTTGCGGGGAATGAGAGGACTATGTGACCTTGGGGGGGGACTAGTTGGGAGAGAACTCGTTTCACTGTGGGTTCGTGAGATTTGGGGCGACTCCTGAGGCTAGTGAGAGTTTCGGTGGATGGATAGATGGATTTGCGCGGCGCGGCGCGGGGTTTCTCGGCCTGTGATGTATCATACTTCCAACAACTTTTTTGTTTATTGGTTTCTTTTTTTTTTTGGGGGGGGGGAGGGGGTGCGTATGCTGGTGAGGGAATTAGCCATTCTTGGAAATGTGTGCTTCTTTTCAATTAATCCTCGAAATTTGGCTCGGGGATCGTGATGTTTACTTCCCTCCTCTCCCTCTTTGTGATGTATGATACTCGAGTACGGTACAGTGCACAGGGTGACATCCTTCACAGTGGGGAAATTTAAATAACTGCAGGAACACATGCCTCCGCATCCTCCGCATCCTCCACCTGCTCGCTGATGGGCTATATATGGTCGTATATGGCAAAACCTGCGCCGCCGGACTGAATGCAGTAGCCTCATATATAATCACTCGACCAATGAACTGGTACATTTGTTGAAAATGGGAAATGCTTAGACCGGAGGTTGCGCGTAGTGGAGAGGAAATGGGTCTAAAGGACAGGGGAGGAGTGGTATGAAGCGAGGAGAAGTTCGTCGGTTGAGAAGAGGTCAGAGGTAAAGTATGGTACAGGAAAGGAAAGGAGGAAAATACAGAGAAGGAAAATTTTCAGTGCTAGTGCGTTGAGGGGACGTGTACTGGTATGGTACGTACGTGCTTGTGCGGATATCTCCAGCAACCTTTGCTGCCAAGCGCATACTTCAGAATCACTGGCTTCGCGGTCTGCGAATCTCGGGTCTAGGCACAATGGTGAAGACTCTTCACCTCCAACGGCAATGCATGGATAATAATATACGGAATAATGCTTCCGTTTTTCCGCTTCTTCAATAACCAAGCCAATCGTTTGTGATTCTCCCCTCCCGTCACATGCATTTCCTCCTATAACCTTCGTTTCTAGTACGGGGAGGGTGCTTGTCCTTGATTTGTGAGTTGACCCCTTGCTGACAGAATCGAGGATGAGCAGCGGCCAAAGGAGCAGAATTTTGTGCGTGAGAACATCAACTATTGAGGATAGACCGCACGAAAGGGTGTAAGTAACAGCCCAATTTCCCGAGAGCTTCGCTACGAGAACAATTTACAGCGGTGCAGGGCTCTCCCGTATTCTTTCCCAATCTTCTACTACCCCCTTGCACGATATCCGGAGAAGATATGTCGACCACCAGAGATGCCAAATATCGAGTGAGCAGCTGTGATTCTGAAGCACGTCATCTTCCACATGGGCCGGTCGTGTAACTTACAAGGCAGGGTTACTATCACCCTCCATAAACCGGCGAGAGGTTCGTCGCTGCTTTCTACTTGATGTGGAAACTTGCGTCCTAGGAAAGCAGCTCAGGATACTGTACAGTAACACCAACTGAGTTTTTTTCCCGCATCGTCGCGAAAATTGATCTCTTGCCTTCTCCGTGGAGGAATAGAGCTACTAGTCTACCCCTTCATATTCACTCGAAGCGGCCTACGGGGGAGGGGCTGACATCCTTCCGGGATAGTATAAGGAGTACATACAACTCCCTCACCCCCCTTCATAACCGCCCACGAGAGCGGTGTTGTCCTGGCACGGACTCTTTAGCTGGGATTGACATTTCCCCCCGCCCGCAAGGTACCCACTGCCAAACCATTGCCAGATGAAGCGGCTGAAGGAGTGGGGGAGGGGGTGTCGTTCGTCGTCGGAAATGGAATCGGGGCTTATATCATCGTGCAGGATGTTGGCTTTATTACCCTCTAGGCTCCCGAACGATGTTTGCGAGGGTGGTGTGTGTCCTTCGCTAGATACTCGAGTATTCGATTTAATATCTTTGTGCGTTAGCTAAAACCTAACTACTCCTACTCCTTCTCCGAGTCTGCGCGCGCACCCCTTTAAAGGATTCGTTTGAAATCATCCAGCCTATGGCGTCTGCTTTTTTCCGCCCGAGTGACTACTACAGGGCGGTCGTGTGCCCTCTCTGAGCAACCGAGATGAGTTGTCTACGACCTGCGAATAATCTCCGCTATTAAAGTCCTAAGATTTCATCTCTACGGAGGGGTTGGAAGTTCAGTTAGTCCGGAGTATGCCTGGCATTGTGGCACTGGAAATTCTTTCGGTCAATATTTGTGATTAAGCCCCGGTGACCGTCTGCCATCCATGGATACCAGTAATAGAAGAGAGATAGAGAGGGAGAGAGATGATATTTGCATCGCTCAAGCATCCTTAGAGCGGATGTTCCACCCATTTGGTTAGTCCACGGCAGGCATGGATGCATAGTGCCATGACGTATATTTAAGCGGGGGAGCTACCGATGGCATAAAACGAGATTCAAGCAGAAAGTCTGACTGGCATAAAGCTCAGAATGGGTCGTGCATGTTTCAGCTGTTCTCGGACAAAGTGTCTCAAAAAGGTTAGCTTGAGCACAAAGGTATTATTGTATCATAAAGTGGAGGGAATTGGGCGGCCACTCGATGGGAAAGCATGGGCGTGAAGATGCCTGGGCAGCGTCCCGGGAGCCTGTGTATCAGGGATATTATCAGTATTAATATCTAGAGATTCCTGGATGATGCATGTTACGACAACTGAGCGGAGCAGCTCCGGTGATTTCAATTTCTGGAAACTCTTTCCAGGGCCCCACGGTGTCGATGATCCTCAGCTCAAAAGAAGTATGTTTTTTGCCGCAACTTTTGGGATATTGGTAGGCGGTGAGAATACGTGAACAACCATTGCTTGTTTTTTTTCTTTTTCTTTTTCCTTTTCTTATTTTGGCTTCTGAAACGCTTTCCCCAACTCTTCTGTAACATTTGTCATGGATCCGCAGCTTTTTTACTTGAGGGTTCCACATAACATAACGTGTTTACCGGGGATCGCTCCTTATGCAAGGGAGTCGCAGTGGTGACAAAGGGCGAGGTGCGGGGCTCTGTCTCGGCTGTTTTGGTAAGATAACATTGGTTTGCATCGTACTCGGGTATGATGTGACCGGGGAATCGGTGTCTAACTTATGATATTTGTGCACTGCGCAAGTTCTTAGAGGGTGTCATTAGATCATCAGTCTGATTAAGTTTGTACCCAACTGATCATGTCTTTTCTTCTCCCTTCTGTCCGAAACACCTAGCAAGCCAGACCGAATGGAAAGGAGAAGGAAAGAAAGAAAGCGAGAACGCAATTAACAGATATCCCATACCCGGTCGCGGATAAAATAAAAAGAGAGCTCCCCGCGTTTCTGGGAGGAGGAGCTGATCTTGTCGTTGGGGTGGAGATATCGGTCAAGCCGCCGGAGGAGTAAATCTCAACTATTAACTTACTTACTAAGTTACTACCTTTTTTAATTAAGTACCGTAGCTTCGATGTCATCTGTCGTTTTAGCATCTGATGCACTGTACTCGAGTAAGGATCTTCCGACTCCTGGGGCTTCATTGGTAGAGAGAGTCGATTCATGATGTGTTTTTTTCACCATTCCCCCCAGTTTGCTCGTTGGGGCGAACTGGCTTCTGGGTCTGCGCTGCCGTATCAATATAGGTTTGGATGTAAGTTAGCATTGTTTGCTTGGGGAGGGGGGTGTAGGTTTGGGCAGCCGAATCATCCCCAAAACTTCATTGTTCTGCGTTCCGACGTTGTGATGTTTGGACATCTGGCTGCGCTCCACTTTTTGTGGCGTAGTCCCCGCATTGGACCGTGAAAAAGGCACTTTGACCTCCTAGTCGTCGTTCTTGTTCCCATGGTTGTGGCGGCGGTTTCAACCCGTCGTACATATATTGCCAGATCCTTTGGGTGACATCCCATGACGGTGATTCTTTCTCCCGCCCCCCCTTCTAGTGAGTCAGACAGAGAATTACAGTACCGAGAAAAACTCCCCGGCCCTGCCTGATCCGCAACCAGGGGCGACAATAGGGTGAGTGCCTTTCCTTCATTCTCTTTTCCCTCCCGTCCACAACACGACGCGCCCACAACGTCCGCAGCATCGACATTGTCAACGCCGTAGGGACCATCAATTTCATCACCCTCTCCCGCCCGCAAGCGGTTAGAGGTTCCTCTCAAGCACCTCCTTGGACCGGACGGTGAACTCGCGAGTTCTCCACCCACATGATTCTGATTGTTGCTTTTCTTCTCTATGCACAATCTCATTCTTGACTTCTGCAGGCTGGCTAGCTAGCTTTTGGATTCCTGTTCGGGTATTTGGGTTCTCCTGGGGGGTGAGGTTCCCCTCTTGCTTTCGGTTCTTGGGCGGAGGGCGAAGGGATGCGGACTTTTTAGTGTTATTGCATTTCTTCAACACGGCAAATATGTTTATACGTGTATAGTGGGTTCAGGATGTCGGTGGTTTGAGGCGTCGATTGAGGTTCCCGTTTTTTGATTGGTAAAGCATGATATTTATAGAATTAAGTTATTCTAGTTTTCTCCTTTGCTCTCGCTAGCCCCGACCTGGTCCCGTGGCAGTTTAGGATAGGAGGGAATTTGTCGTTCCGGTCGCTGAGGTTTTAACGTTTGCATGTGGTTGAGGTCGGTCGGATACACCTTCGCCCGGCCTTTCACGGGGTGGGGTGGTTATGCAACTTGCAAACTGTCTGATTGTTTTCATTGCTGGGCGGGGAGGTATTATGCATCTTCTTCTCGTCGGCGGTAGGGTTGGAATTTTGTTAGATTTTATTTGAGGTTGGGTGTTCGAACAATACTGTGCTTGCCACGGTGTCATATACCAATGATACTGTACAGCGAATTACGGCAGTAAGGCTTGAGCACAGCAGCGCCGGGGAACCATATCTCGCGCTGTGATATTTGGTGCCGAGCAACTGTATCTTTTGCCAGAGGATCCCAGGCCGCAAAAGTGCTCCTTGTATCAAGTGGATTTTAGGTAGACAAGCTGCTGAGGTTGGGAAGTGGTCAGACAGTACATTCGGGGATGGGTTCTTTGGTAGCATAGCATGTGAGCACGGGGGGGGTTGTGTGCACAGTAGGAGGATTTTACTGGGGAGGAGTCAAATTTGGCCCGGGATATTCTTATCCACGATGGGGGGGGGGTTAATTGTGCTATTTGAATACATAGATTCATTCCACTCCGCTGTACGACACCCGTGAATCCTCCCCACTGCACATCTCCATTGAGATCTAGTAGTTCTTGTTCTATACTGGAGTGTGGAAGGACGTCTGGTTAGTTATAGTGAGATACTGTACTGTATCGCACCATAAAATACCGTCGAAACCCTCTCGTCGTCCGAGTGAGACCATATGATTACACCGGAAGCACTCCAAGCATGAACGGCACCAGCACCTCCGTTCCAGAACCGGCACCCCGCCGCCCCAGAGAGTAGAAGTCAAGGAAGGGAAAGAAATCTCAAAAAAGGAACCCTCCTCCAGCGCTCGGGCCTCACCCGAATTACAGTACGCAGACTTTGAACGGGCCGGAGAAATGCTCCGAGGAGAATAAGTCATGACCTATCACCCCTCGGAGAAACATTTACAACCCATATGTAGAAAGAAGAAAAAAAAACAAGTGTCCGGGAAAATGACCTGAAAACAAAATCGCCCAGGTTCCTTTTCCTAGGGGCTCACCATAAATACTCATCATTCCCCCCGAAAGAAAGCGTTTCTTTCAAAACGGGCCTCGTGCCCCGACCCTCCCTACTGTACCCATCGCTCCCCCGATCTCTGCAAACGGTCCTTCGTCGGGTCCCGCTTTCTAAGCTCTCCTGGAGGCGACTTCGAATTCTCGGCCGGGTGGGCGAAGGGGTACGCACACGTTTTTTTGGTTTTCCGGGTTGGAGTGTCTAGTTGCGCATTGGTTGGCTGGGGATGTTGGCGCGAGGAGGATCACTTGTGGTGGTGGTGGTTGTGGTATGGCAGTTTGCATGGCTGGTTTTGCTGGTGCGGCGAGTGCCTTGGCAATTCCTCGATAGACGCTGAGGATTCCTTCGGGTTGGGAATTCTGTCGCGGCGGAAGCGGGGTGGTGGTGGTGGAGGAGTTGTATGATGTTGCGGGCAGGTCTCGCCTCGTCCATGAATCGGCCGCTATTCTGTTGCTCGGAGGATCTCCCAACTCTGGAACGCGCCATTTGAGCGGATCGGGTAGCGGTAGCTTTCCAGCGTCACTTCTTCCTCGCTCGGACGCCAAATATAGGGATGCAGCGCCCCAACATGCGACTCTGGGGCACTCTGTTTTTGGAGATGGTGGATTCGGGATGTGATTTGACGCATTCTTGATTGTTCTGCGGGGGTACGGAGTGAGGTGAGGTGAGGTGCGGGGGTATTGCCGCTTGGGTTGGAGATGGGGAAGTCTTTTGCATTCGAGGATGAGGAGTAAATGGGGTAGGTTTGCTTCACCCTCTTGGGTAAAGGGTGGACTTGGGTGGGCAGGCTGTATTTGCGCTTGCTTGCTCTGGGTGCAGGAAAACGTAAGAGCTGTGTATATGCCATAGGGAAGGGGTAGATAAAGGACCCTTTCCCGCCATTTTTACTTCATACCTTCCTAGCCTCCTCCCCATAGATCCCCTAATTTTCAGGTCTTCACTACTTCGTGAGAAGCCGGATACGGTACCAGATGCTTGTCGAGTTTGGAGGCTTGTCTGGGAGACTACGAGTACGACTTGGGCCAACTCCATAATGGCCATCCGGGGGTATATAGCAAGGTACAGTACAGTACAATATGTGCAGTGCTGTAGTCAAGCGAGCAATTCCACCATCTCGATTCCCGGGTTTCTCATCGCTACCAGTTCCGAAACCCAATGCGTTGTATAATAAACTGTCACTTGCCGGGTGATAACATATGATACACTCCCGAGCTCAAACACACGACTCTATTGGTAATTACACCTTTCGAGCCCAACTTGATCACATCAAGCTCTTGGAGAAAGAAAGAAAGAAGAAAGATCCTCAACTTCTTGCTATCATACCGAAAATAGAACGTGAACTAGGGAAGCCGGACGAGCTTACTTGTCCCGCCATTTCGCAGCGGGCCTTACCGTTCCAGTAAAAATCCCACTAAACCCCGTGTGATGGACCGCCACGAACCGACAAAAGATCATCAATCGTAGAATCATCGAAACTCGTACCGGGTACGGCAGCCCAGAAATCTCCTTCCCCGGAAAAAAAGTGGTGAAAAGACTGCTGAAAGGTGATTTTTGACATGGGAAAGATAATACTAAGGAGAGGGAGGGGAAGACTCGAACGACATAGCATGCTGTTCGATTATTTGGGATTCCGCGGTATTTTAAAGGGAGGAAACTTCCCCACATTCACCATGACGTGCTATGATAGAAAAAGGGTCATGTTTGCTCCTCAAACAATGATAGTTTACTTCCTACGAGTCCGGCTGATAGATGCACTAGTCACGTGCATTTTTTCTGAGCACGCCAAAACAGGAAGGTTCAACACAAATCCTTAGAATATCATGCTTCACGTGACGAATATATAATAATATATAATATTATTATATATATTGCCCGCATTTGTATTATACCTTTATCTCGAGTAGACAACAGCAGGGTAAACAACCCAACAATTCCCATTAGCCACCGTCAGATCTTGAGCTTGAAGGACAATTCACTCGCACCTACAGCGTTAGGCAGAGCGCCCCTACCTTACAGTGCGGTGACCACTGACAGCTGACCCCCAGCCCGGGTCTGAATAGTTGGCGATTTGGTTGGCTGCTCGCTGTCACATAGATTACGGTTGTGTTTCCTTCTGGCCTCTCTCTAATAGGTCAGTTATTGAACCGACCGGACTTCCCACGACCGGCATGCTTACGATGGCGCACGGTTAACCTTCATTCCCGGGAGTTGGATTAATGTCCGGCTTTGGTCGAGCAGTTTTTTAGCCAGCACCGAGATTTCCCTCAGGTCCGGTACAGTACCTTGTCTAAATCTGGTTTTTGCTATGATATGATAGATTTTTATCCTCTCCTTAACCGTTTGTTTTTGCTGATCGTAGAATACAGTGCCATGGACAAACTTAGCCCATCCGATCCACATTAGGCGTTTGGAACACTCAATCGTGTCGTATTCTCGGGCGCTTCAATGGTGGTGGTATCTGGCGGTCGGGCGGTGTTTCTGATGTCGCGACTGGTTTTTGCTACTGACCCCACAGATGTTCCACATTCTACATTTCTGATCACTTCGCACTTTGGGTATTGTCCCCCGCCTACTGGGGCGTGGAGCGTGATACGGGCTTCTTCGAATATTAGAAAATGGGTGGCTAGGTTTCTTGGGTCGATATAGCTTTTTCGTCGTGACGTTTATTTTTTTAGAAAAACCCCGCTTTGTAGAGGGGAAGGCGGAGGAGAATATTCAAAGGAAATAGTGTTTTTTTGATTTTTTTGCCTTGGACCCCCCACTTCATTGCACAGTACGATTGTAACTATCCTCAACTGCTGAAACTTCGGTGTATGAGATAAGGAAACCACTCTCCTGCTTCGGCAGAATAATTTGAAAGGAGAAACTAAAGGTAAGAAAACAAATAGTGAAAACACATTTTCGATGACCAATAGCTTATTATGGCACGCGCCAGAAATCCTGAGTGTACGATGCTGCTTGGAGCTTTGGTTGGTCTTTATTTTCGGTTGGTTGGTTCGAGGGGTGTGTTGGGTTAGGTTCAATGTCTTCGAGCCCTAGCAAGATATTCACTACCGCTGTATATCCACCCTCAGTGGCGCGGGAGAGTGGGGTCCGTCCTCTGCTATCAGTAGCGTTGCGGTCGACACCCTGGTTATCGTGGAATGCTTTCACTATCTCCGCATATCCTTTTCCAGCGGCCCACAAGAGGGGGGTTTGCCCATCGTTATCCGTAGGGTTAGGGTTGGTGGCTCCGCACCCCAGCAAAATCTTCACAATTACTTCATGCTCTCTAGTAACGGCGTGCCAGAGTGGTGTTCCCCCACCGTCGCCCCCCGCGTTGATATCGATATCCGGCCGGTCGAGAAGTAGCTTCACAATTCCCTCGTGCCCCATTTCGGCCGCCTTGCATAGGGGTGTTTGGCCATCATCGCGCGCTTTGTTAGGGTCGGTGTCTCCGCGGGCGAGTAGAAGCTTTGCTATCTCTTGTCGCCCATCAATTGTGGCCCGCCAGAGCGGCGTTTCCCCGTCGCTACCCTCAGAGTTGGGGTTGACGTCGTGCCGGGTGAGTAGCGCCTCTACCAGTTCATGACGCCCCTTGAAAACAGCCCACCAGAGAGGTGTTTCCCCGTCATTGTCGGCCAAATTGGGGTTAATGTCCTCCCGACCTAGTAACATCTTGACAACCCCGTCGTGCCCCCTATAAGTAGCCTGGCATAATGGCGTTTGTCCATGCCTGCCCGCTAAGTTGGGGTTGATACCTTCGCGACCTATAAGCAACTCCACAACTTCTTCATACCCCATGTAAGCAGCCCACCAGAGAGGTGACTCTCCATCATTTCCCACCGAGTTCGGATTAATCTCCCTCCTATCCAACAACAACTTTACCACGCCTCCGTGTCTTTTCCTTGAAGCCCATAAAAGAGGCGTTCGTCCTCGATCGTCGGGCAGGTCAGCCTCGACATCTTTTAACTCGAGTAATTGCTTCACGGTGTCCATATGCCCTCTCCGAGCAGCCCAAATGAGTGGTGTACTGCTGGTAAAATCCCTGCCATTGACGTCCCAAGATTTCCTCTCCGTCAGGGGACTTAGGAGTTCTGTCACACCAAGGTATGCCAGGCAATGAAGCCCGGTAAATCCCTGCGGGCAATTCTCGCGAGTAAGCTCCCACGGCCATTGGCTGTCGTTTAGTAGGAGTAGCTTCGCAGATACATGGTTGTCGTATTGATCCAGGAGCTCAAGGGCGAGTGGTTTTACACATTTCATAGCCCCTTGGCGGGCATGGGTTGCCCAGTAGGTCGAAGCATATTGGAGGAAGGGGGTAGTTGGAGGGGCGATGTCAAGTGCCGGAGAAAGGTTTTTGATAGAGCTAAAATTTAGGTAGGTCAAACACGTTTCGGCAATGGTCGAATGTGCCTCCTCGAAAAGCTTCGGCTGGGCGGAAAGGTATTCCTTGAGAGACAGGTGGATTAAACGAACTGTCAATGCCTCCTCGTCAACGGTAACGAGGCCGAGGCAGCAACCTAATATCGTTTGTGTCGGAGGGGTGTTCTCGGTGTTTGGGTCTGGGGAGCCAATTTCTACTGCAAGAGCATCGCACAGCTCGTCAATGCGTAATGGTCGTTGCGAGTTTGAAATCCACATTAAAACGGCCATTCCGACCTGTGGCTTGCTCCCACCCAATTTGCTTATTCGCTGTATTGTCGCACTATATGCATCACCCAATACTTGGCCGTTCGTCATTTGCCTCAACTTTTCCTTTCTCTGGTGGATTGTACTCTCTGCGAGGATTAAATCAGTATTCAACGAAACTAATATAAATCTAGTATCCATTGTCAGTCATCGGTAGTTATTGATCGCGCTACTGGTACTCACATCTCGGATACCTTTTCAGAGACAGTTCTCATTATATCTTCCTTTAGGTCATTGCTCATCGCCTCAGGATGCGGGTCCTCCTCCAGTTTTTGACTCAAATAGGCTTTAATGTCCCCCGTGCTTGGGGCGAAGTGTACGATCGCCGTGTCTTCAGAAATGCTCTTTCTAATTTCGGCTCCGATGTGCGGCCGTCCGGTGAAGAACAACCGTATTCCCGGTGATCCTTGAATGAGGCACCTGAGTGACCGAAGAAATTCCGGCCGGTGCTTTGTTAGACATTCATCTAGTGCGTCTATACAAATAAAGACCCGATCAAAGGAGTTGAGGACCTTCTGCAACAGTATCAATATATCTGGTAGTCGAAGGCCTCTGTCACCAATGCTTTCTCTTGACTGCCGGAAGGCCTTGGCGACTTCTTCCGGAAGTTCGGCTGCACGAGCCACAACCTGCTTGAGCAGCCCACCAAGCATGTTCGTTGGTGTCTGCTCATCTTGTGCTTGGAAGTCGAAATAAAGACAGATAACGGTCGCGTTTCTCCCAACAACCTGGTCGGATAATGCATCTATTACTAGAGAGCTAATTTATTGAATAGTCAGCAAACAAGGAAATTTTTTTGCAAGGACCATTTCCGTACGGCACCTCATGTAGGTTTTCCCGACCCCTGGGTCACCGGAAAAAAATAGTGTTGGATCCATGGATGCGCCTTCACAATTCTGCCAATTCAGAAACTCCCGTGTCTGCAGGACCCACTCTCCAACTCCCTTGAGCCGTCGGGTACGAATATCTTGGTGGCGTGCCCGGGGTTCTAGGGGAGATAGCTGTGCCAAAATCTGCGCCTTTTCGTCCGCCACAGCCCAGTCATAGCTATTGGAGACATTTAAGCAATTAGTATTTTCGGTAGCGGGGGAGTTTGGGGACAAGGATGGATTCATGATTTCTGAAGAGAATTTCTGTGATAGAATAGAGGATGTTAATGGATGGCGAGGAGAGGAGGGAAAGCGGGGTTAATACCGAACTGTATTCGTAGTGGGTTGGCGTTTGTGAACACAACTGCTATTGCATGGCGCCTAAATTGGAGAACCGGCCAAAATTTGGTTGCATGCAACTGCTCGCCAAAACAAAAAGTCGATCACTGACCTCTACCTTGCGCTCCGAGAGGGGAGGTTTTGAACCGCCCTTCACTAATGGCAATAGATGAAGCGCAGTTCTGAACGCCGTGCATGTAAAGGTCGGGGAGAGACCTTTTTTTTTTGGCGAGTACTACCATCAAACACTATAGATAGTGAATTATGTACAAAGATTTATGATATCTTTAAATGCTGCCGCGAGTCTTGCCACCAGAGAGGCATTTTTTCATACTTCCAAAGTAGTTCTGTTTTTTCAGCATAATTGTCATGAACACATTGATGAGTAAAATGTATCAAACTTAAACGTTCTCCCTTAAAAGCTCCAATATAGTGTGCCACAGCATAAGAGCGTAAAAATACAACAGAGCCTAAAATACATATTAGAATAATGACTTCAAGTTCAGAAAAAACACAATTGAATAAAAAGGAATGGAAGAAAACTTTACCTGTACCGCTTTCCATTTTTACTCCAAGTTGTGGAAAACATCCATGCCCATCATGAAAGTTGCCAAAGGGCGAAATCGCACACCATCCACGACAAACGTCAAGGAGATCAAAGTGAACATTAGTGGCGGCATTTGTGACAAGTGCACGGGAGGTCCAAATCCCA